TTAATGAATCTCCTCAAACAGGTGCAGCGGGTTGCACCCCATTTTCCAATCAGTATTTGAGCCTCTTTTTTCCTGATGCCGGTTTGTGTGTGCCGAGTTTCGTCAAATCTGCCTCGATGTGAAATTGATTTTTTTTTTTTTTTTTTTTTTTTTTTTTTGGAACAAAAAACAGGGCCTTATGGTCCTAGCTCCTTCTATTCTGGGGAGCGTCGAAATTGAAATTTTTGACCGGCACTCTATTTGGTAGGCTGAGCCCCGAAAGAAAGAGACAGTGTGTTCATCCGAGCCTCCTTTTGCTGAGGTGAATTCCCCCCTGCGTGCCAAGCATTGCCGAAAGGCCAGCACAACATTTTCTTTTTCTTTTGGCTGGCGCTGCCAGCCATTTTGGTCCAGTAGCATTGTTCATCCAAACTTTTCGGAGCGATTCTCAGGTTTGCCTGGGTGGTGTACTTGCGGTTTAACGACTGGGTCGGAACAGAATAAGCTGGGAAAAATACTGGTGGTTTAAACTGCCAGTGTCTGTTTTTCGATGCGCGTTCTTGCCTGGCCCTGAAATCTCCAAACTGTCGAGCCTTGTAGTTTTCCTGCTGTGGCCAGCCTTTTCCCTCTGGGAAATAAGCCTTTCCGTGGGACTGGGTTAACTGGCAAGTGTACGCAGAAAGGCTGGGCTGGATACCGGTGGCCAGTGCTGCTGCCTTTTTGTGGAACCCCAAACAAATTCTGCCCCGTCTGCTCTTACCAGCACGACTAACACTGCCGGGGGTGCTTGTTAAAAAAAAGAAAAAAGAAAAAAAAAAACCAGTTTGAGCAGTATCAAAGACAGACCTGGGCAGCGAGGATGTCTTAAAAAAAAAAAAAAAAAAAAAAGACCTGGGCAGCGRGGAACATCTTTTTTTCCCTTTTTTTTTTCCCCTCTCTCTGGGCGGGGTCCCAGGAATCTTTCAGGGTCAGGACTCAGGACTCAGGACTTCATTTGATAAATTATGCTGACGTCAGCAATATATGATGTCAAAGGATTGCCGACAAGTGAGTTTTGGCTTTGGCTTTCTTTCTTTCTTTCTTTCTTTCTTTCTCTCGTCCTCTGTGTGGTATGTGATGAACCAGCCGCAGTGGGTTGGTACATTGAAAGTGGGGCCTCTGTTCGCAATGCTGCAGATTGAGCAGGGGGAGTGTTCGTGCTGGTGGTAATTGAACCGTTGTTCCGAGCGTCTTTCTTTTTGCCAATTCTGATTTTTGCCCGGCACTAAGGAATCCAAACCATTGTGGCATGTGATTTGCCTGTGGCCGCTAGCCTGTTGCAGTAGGCAATCTGACCCATTCTGCAGCCTTGGTGGGTGTTTTTTTCAAAGGCAGGGACTGCAACTGGTGGTTTAAACCACCACTGCCCCCTCTCTTTTTCTTGAAAGAGGTGATGGTCTTGAGTATCATCATCTACCTGACTGGCATCAGGTTATTCCAGGGTTGTTCATTTGTCGGATTCCATCCGGATTCACACTTAGGTCTGCTTATCAAGAGTTCGTGAATATACCATCTCCCCGCATGGGCTGGTTGTCCAACCTCTCTTTTGTTTGAGGCTGGGCTTGTAGAACATGACATAGTAACTTAAACCACCAGTAAGTTTCCCAGCCATTTTTCTCCGACGTGGCTGCGAGTTTCGGGGGTTGGAGCAAAAGGGCTGGCAGCGCCAGGCAAAGGAAGGCCAGTGCCGGTTCTTTTTTTGGGTGTGCAGTCCGTTTCGAGACTTGGCAAGGGAAGGGTCAAGACGCAAAAGCAGTGGTGGTTTAAACCGCCTGATCATCCGAGCCTCCTTTTGCCGAGGCAGATTCGCCCTGCAGGCCAGGCTTTGTCGAAATGCCAGCGGAGCGCTTTTCCTTTTCGGTCGGTTGGCACCGCCAGTCATTGTGGTCTGGTAGCTCTGATGCCCCCGGAAATTTTCGGATTGGCTCGATTTCGATTCCTTGCCTGGGCGGTACACTGGCGGTTCAAGAAAATCCATCAGCTGTGACGAAGAACAGTTCCTGCCAACATAGATATGACAGAAATCTATGACTGCCAATATGGATTGTCCTGATTGTGATCCAGTGGTTCACTTCGGGGACCACAGTTTTTTTTCTTCCAGGTCCAATGGTTCACTTCAGGGGCTGTAGTTTTTTTCCCTTTTTCCCAGCCACTGCATTTTGTCGCCCAGCCCCAGCATAGCTATGGCAACAAACTGTGGCTGCCTACATGAACCATTGTCACCACAATCCGATGGTTCACATCGGTGGCCACAGGTTTTTCCCTCAGCCACTGCGGGCTGTCATTGGCTGCCAACAGGCTGCCCTGCGCCCCCCTTGTATACACATGGGGGGCCAATAGCAGCCAGGTTCGGTCTAGTCTCTCTGCCTGGGACGAAGGAAACCGTTGTAGGCACAATAATAAACTACGAGCATATGCACCCCTGAACTATCCTGAATGTATCTGAGCACGTATGGTCCAAGTGTGAGTATGGCTTAAACCGCTAGCCGCAACCTTATGGAGATTTGCTTGTAACGTACTCCGACTTTTCAGGGCTCACGGCTGCGGAAAGCTGTGGTATACCATTCAGAGTCCAGACTCATCGGTTAGGTCGGCAGTGGCCATGGGAATGCAGTCACCAACCTCAGTTACTGGGTATTGATTCCTGCTGGCAATGAGCTCTGGTGGCCGCCGTGATGACCAGACAGAGCAGACTCCGCGACTCCAGGGAAGGCGAAAATAAGAGGAGGTTTGACGAAACAGGTTTGGAGGTAGTGGTGGTTTACGGATAGTATTGAGGAGCTTTCGATGTGTACCTGTAGAATTAACCTGCGTAGGTTACAGGTTGTCATTGTGTTTTACTCGAGAGGTTTCCTCGGTAGCTCGTCCTCTAGCACTGACTCACGCCTCAGGATTGGCGCATGGGGGGTTTTCGCCTCACTGCTGGGGTTGTCTGTCCATAAGGGACACCCAGCTCCATGACTCATCTGACAAATCTGAATGTTTGTGTTACTGGTGCTGACTTCCTGCACTCTGACAAAGTAAATGAGAGAATGGAACTGTAAAATTTGCCGGATTCTGGTCATTTGCAGATCCTGTGGAGGTCGTGGTGCGTAGATAGACTAGTTAACAGGACGTTGTCCTGGCCGATGCTTCTCTGCCATCTCTTGCTGGTCTGTATGTCTATGTTCTATCTTTTGTGGGGACATTGATCAAAATTGCTGATGACCAGGGTGAGCGGCCTAGCTCAGTTGGCAGAGCACACAAGTGGCATTCAAGAGGTCGTGGGTTCGATTCCCCAAGTCGTCCCATTCGATCCCCCATGGCCTCCTGCGGCGCACTTGGGGTTCACCAGCTGAGATAGTTGGATCGCCCCCCATAGTTCACCGTGGCAGGAGTGAAATGTTCTGCCATCCTTCACAAGGGGTTAGGAGCTTGGGTACTACTCCCCGCACAGATTAGAGCTTGCTGGTAGTGCTCCTATGGTCTGTTCAGTAGCAACGTCCTAATGGTCTGTAGTGCGGAAAATTGAGAGAACAATACATATATGTACAGCTGTCCCCCAATGAGGAGAAGAGAGCTTTTATCAAATGAATAAAAAAGCTGATAACTGCTGGATACGAGGACGGACTCGATGACAGCCGCAGGATATCAGGTGCCTATCAGTTGGTCCTGTGATGAACGTATACAGGCAGTAATACCGCAGCATTGACGATTGGTGACACTCTTCCTCTTTGCACACCCTCTCCTTCTTTTCGCCTGCATTGTTCCTGAGCTGGTGGACATATTCTACCGCCCGAGTACGGATGAGAGGGTGTGGATACTCCCCTCCCTAGCTGTGTTCGGGCTGGCAAAGATGTTGTGGTGTTGGACAGGTTACTCACTATAGACAATTCAGCACCTGTGGGGGGTGCACAAAAGCTGACAGTCAGCGCGGATGGACATGCCATTCAGGTGCCCTGGTCGGATGGTTGAACTGGCAATGACTGCATTGTCAAGATTGGATAGCAGGGAGAGACGGGAACCGACTCCAACTGATAAGAAAGCATTGATGTTTCCTTGCCCCAACCCAAAGACTACGGGAGAAAGTCTCGTCAAAAAGTTGCGTCAGCCAAAACAATCTCTCCCCCACATTCTTCTTACACCACACAGATGTAGTGTTTGCCTCTCTCTGTCCACTATGTTGGCCAGCCTGCAAGGTCGTTAGAGTGAGGCATTGAGAAGGCGAGAGCAATGTAGCAGGCAACACTCTGCTCAAGCTTATTGCAATATTTCCCTCTACGGAATGACCGATGAGCCATGAAGATCCATGATCGTTCTGGTAATGACAATGGGAACAACATATGTAGTTCAATGCGACTTCTGTACCACCTTAGAACCTGCTGGCCAGTGATCTCGTCACTCTCTGATCATCATCAGCCCCAGTTGTAAGGGAAAGAGTGACCAGACCGCCCGGCTGTCACCATCTCTTCCTCAGGTCCCGCTGTGTCACCTGCACTACTAATGACGAGTTCTCCTTGACCTACTGGCACTCCCTGACTCCTGCCTTTGGAAGCTATCGGAAGGGCCGGGGCTCCTCCAAAACGCCTTTTGCATTGGTCAGCAACAGGCTTCACAGTGAGACGAAGGTCCGTTGTCTCCGTGAGCTGCCACTGAGCTCTTTTTTTTTTTTTTCCCTGAGCTCTGTGCATTCTGCTGGACTCATGGTTGAGCCTCTGCTGAACCCACAGCCTCTGCTCTACACCATGGAGTTCAATTGGTGTTGGTGGTGGAGGCTGGGGGATCTATCTGGCACTCGTTCTTACCTGGGTGTCAAACTGAGCAACTATCCCTCCTGCATCAGCCTCAGCAAGTGCCTATCACTATCACGTAACCCTCCCTTCATCTACCCTTCACAGCACCAACCCCTCCCATCAACTGCTCTTCCTATCACCCACGGCTCCCATCCGCCACCCCTACTGTGATACGTGTTGCCGAAGTCTCGAGTATCCTGCTGTGCGCCACTATGTCGACTGGGCGTGACATGGGGACAAGAGTGGAGGTTTGCTCATATGTGCAGCCCAGAAAGGGACATGTGCCAAACTACTGGATGATGAGTCGGCTGAGAAAAATTGGTGGGAGACCACCCACACACAAAGAGGTAGGAATGACTCTCCAGAACAAGGGATGATTCTCTTGGACGCTGGAAAACGGTGATGCAAGCTGATGTCTGTATGTTTGCTAGTTCGAGACAAAACGGACTTCAGACAAATTGAATGGGGAAGGACACTAAACATGACATAACATGCTGCTAATCACCTACACTCAACCGACAAACAAAAAAATGACTCCCTCTCTCTCAAAGACATATCTGAAGCATTTTCAAAACCTACATTGGAGAGGCCTGGACAAAATCACTACTCAGGGGTTTCCTACACGGCCCAACATGGTCTCGAGAAGGAGCCAATGCTTTACTATTCGGCCACCAGAAAAACAAAAGCAAAGCAAAGCAAAGCAAAGCAATAGCAAAAGCAAAAGCAAAAGCAAAAGCAAAAGCAAAGCAGAGCAGAGAAAAGAAGAGCAGCGTAGAGAGAAAGCAAGCGCAGATAGAAAGCAAAGCAAAGCAAAGCAAAAGCAAAAGCAAAAGCAAAGTAAAGCAACAGCATGTGGATTTCAGCTATCTTCACTCCTACCACCACCGTTCGCCACCGCCCAGCACTGCCCAGTAGACTACTGTGACATGTGATGCACCCTTAAACCACAAGTACACCCACACCTGATTTAAACGAACCTGAATTTCACTGCGCACCGAGTTTTACCAGGCCTGGATCCCGGTGTATTTTCTTTTCTCTTACTCCCAAATGAACAACGTAAAAAAGAAAAAGAACCAAAAAAAAAAAAGAAACGCAACAACGCTATGGACAAGGAAGCAGTTGGATACAGAATCAGGGGTCATTGTGAGAGTGTGCCCTCAGTGAGGGCGTTTACAGCTCCACGTTCATCACGGATGTTACCTTCAGTACTGAAAAGCAAAAAAAAAAAGGCAAGAACATTATGGACGTGAAACCGGTTAGATACAGAATCTGAGTATATGCCCTCTTGGACAATGTGTCAGAAGTCCTTGCAGTGCTTGCTGGCAGGGAGCCGAAAAGGAAACAAAAGAATAAACCAAACAACAAACAATACAAAACCTAACACAAGCCATAGGTGCGGTTAGATTCGTTCCTGTTCTAGTGTGAGCACACCTCCTTCAGGGCCTTCCCCGATGTCGTTCTCAATTTGCAGTTTCTTTTTTTTTTGTGTGTGTGTGCCGACCCTGCCCCGACCCCCGATCTTTTCGGAATGAGTTGTTTTCAATGAATTTATTTTGCCTGGGCTGTGTACTTGTGGTTTAAGAGTAGAATGGACCCGCAGTTTGTGCGTATGCTGTCTGATGGGCCGATAGATGGTTTGCTCTATCTGGCGAACTTACGGCAGAACGTGGGTCTGTTTTGTGTGCTTCGAAATTACCTGCATGGTGTGGTTTGCAGTGTGCTTTTGTTCCTGAACCCTTGTTGACTTTTGACATTCTGAAAAAAGAACTGAGTCGAGCAGCCAGGGATTGTCTCTAAACCACGACTGCCTTGGAGCATATCCTCTTTCTGAAGGCAGTGACTACAGTAGACTGGGACTGTCGCCTGCTCTGCCAGAAACCAGTAACTTGCCTCCTTGGTCTCCGTAGCTCAGGTCTGCATATGGTGGTCGTTTAAGCGTGTGTTGACATCTGATCTATTCTTTTTGCTTGGAAATAGGAATCTTCTGACTCCTTGGAATTGGTTGATTTTTGCAGTATAAACTTGCACAACTGTATATGGTAGCAAAGTACAGTGCAAGTGAGAGCTCGGGAGATGATGGAGATGGCGTGGAGGTTCTCAAGAATGAACCGTTTCAGGATGGGGACAAGCAAGGCCAATACACACACAAAATCTACCATCTGGCCAAGTAGGGATACCGCTGCTT